CTAAATGAGTCAATATTAAAAGCATTGGGGGGTTAGATATATGGAACTTTATTTTCAGGGACTTATGTATTTCAAGGTCCCACTGTGATCTTACCTGTACCCTTCCTCAATAGGAAGGATTATTTTGTTGGGTGGAATATTGGTGAAAATACGCACAGGAGACTGTTTCCGTCCTGTCTTTCCATGTTTATAAAGTGCATGATTATCATAATCTACCTAGAAAGTTAAAAAAAATTTAAAAAGAAACATTTCTCAAATGAGTCAACATTTGTTCAGACTCTTTAGCCAATAAATGAACAAAGTGATGCCAAGAAACAAATCAAATCAAAATACTGAATAAGAAATTCTTAAAAGAGTTTATAGCCAGCCTTGGAGAGGCCTCTGTGGGCAGCCAAATTTCATTATAAAAAAGGTGAAATTTGTTATGACAAATTCATGCTACCCCTAGGTAAGAGAACAACTCTGATCTTTTATCCAACGCAATAGACTCTGCAATAAAGGCTATTCTGTAATTAAGAATGTAGCTATCGGTGTTTTAAAAAACTCCACCTTGAAGATCTGTGACAACTTGGTTAGGGCTTCTCATTTGTGTGTGTGTGAAATTCACTGCATGTCAGTTTTCTGTTCCCCAAGGCTCAGTGCAGCCTCAGTTTGGCCCTCCAACATTACTCTCCAACAGAGCCAGATTTGGGGGCCAGGCAGGGGCTCTGTCACTCACTTGTTATATGACCTCAGGTAAGTTTGCATCATTTTCACCTGGAAAAAAGAGGTTACTGATACTTACCTTAGAGCTGCTGTGAAAGTTACATGAGGCAACGTATGTAAAGCCCAGAGTTCAGGGCCCAGCACATCGTAGAGATGGAAGGATGGAGATGCAGAGGGAGACTCGTAACCTATAGCTGTTCTCCCCACCATGACTATTTCAAACGTTTACCTCTCTCCTCAAGACCCCTAACTCAACTTTCCATTTCAGCAGATTATCTGGAAAGTAAAATGAAGCCAACAAGCATGATTTCTACTAGCTTCTTGCTCCCGTCTCCTTTCCCACCCTATCATCTACACACAGTCTCAATCTGGTTTTCAACCTGCTATGAACACATCTGGCCACTAAGTCCGTCTTCCTTCAGATCACTAATTCTCACAGTGTGGTGCCTGAATCAGCAACACCAGCATTACCTGGGATCTTGTTGGAAATGCAAATTCTTGCCCCACCTAGGGCCTAAGAACACAGAAACTCTGTGGGTGGGGCCCAGCAACCTGTATTTTTAACAAGCCCTTCTGGTACACTAAAGTTTGAGCACCACTGATTTAATTACATACAGGACTATCATGAGATTTTTATAAGGTTAATACAGATAGATCCCAACTTTCGAGTAAGTTGTTATGAATTGTTTGGATTCTAAATCAGATTACTCTTAAGAATTTACAACAGAACTGGCTTGCAAGCTAGCTATTTCATGAGAGAACTACAAAAATGTAAGGATTTGGCGGCAATGGAAAGAGAGGACTTGAATGGGAGATTCCCAAGCTCTCCCAATGGCCATGCCAATGCCTGCTAGATTTACAGGTGAACAAATTTAGGAAGACTCATTAATAAGCTTCAGCAGTGGGGAAAAAACCCCGAGGATGTTCTGCACAATGAGCACGCACAGGTCGGCATGGTGAGTCCGCAGTCTAGCATAGCGATGTAACAGCTCAGTGCTTACACAGAAGTGTAGCATCAGAACGCGGAGAGGAGAGGAGGTTAGAGCACATCCGAAGCCTTGCATTCAGTTGCTACATTTTAAGAGACTCATTAATAAAACCAGTTCATTTCTATTGAAAGTAATGGGAATAAAAAGGATTGATAGTTTAACAGATTGGGAGTGTTTATTCAGAAAAGAGAAGACAGGGAGGATCTGATGGCTATTTTATAACAGAAAGCGTGTCACGTGGAATAGAAATTAGACTTACTCTTTTATTGCTTCGGAAAACAGAAGTAGGTCCAATGGTTAGAAGTTAATAGGGAGCATATTTTATCTCCATATGAGAAAATTTTCTAACGATTAGAGCTATTAAATAAATTGAGTTGCCTTGTAAGGCTGTAGGACTTTGCTCACTGAAAGCATTCAAGTGAGGCTGGGTGACTGCTTGTCATGAATTTAGTGGAGAGGATTATTACACTGGGAAGTTAGCCTACGTTACCTCTATGCTTCTTTCCAAATTTAAAATTCTATGAATATATGTTACCTATTACAGGCTAAGATACAAAAGTAGATTTTACTACAAAATCACCTTTAAAATAGTGCCTTAAGTAGTTTTCTTTTAAAATGACAAATTCATAATTTTCCCTAATGCACCCCCCTCTATGTACTCAGTAAATATATAGCACCTTATTAAATTCAACAAAGATATTTTGAACATTTATGAGTGTCATAAGAAAAAAATTCTTCCCAAGAGAATCTTATAAAGATTTTCATATGCTGGAAAAGAGTATCTTAGAAAGATTTTTAGTAAATGGAATATTCCATGCAATATAATAGATAGCAGATGGAAGAGAGGGGGAAAAAAAAAGAACAATTTCTTTATGGTTACCCAAGGAGTCGGAGAATGCATGTGTCAGGAAGGTGGTTGATTACTTGATTTTGCATAACCTAATTGAGATTATTATTATTTTTAAATGTGGGTTTGTTGTGCTAATTAACTATAAACATATGGTATGTAAAATGCATGCTGCTAGGGTAAATTAATGTACCTCTAACATGCATCCATATTTCATAGCTTCATCCACACAAATAAACCTCCTATGGAAGTGCTGTAAAGCAAACACAATTTTGCAAATTGCGTATCACTAGTGGTAGAGCTGAAACACCATTTTCCCATCATTATCCCTGACATTTCACTCACAATGATGATGAGAAGCATTTTCAAATAGAAAATTTCTCCCATGGAACTGATTAATGTGATGAAGTACTGTATAGAAATGAGGGAAAGCACAAAATCTCTGCAATTCCTAACTTTTAATTTTATCTATACGCAAATTACTTCTGCAACACAAGACTGAAACTAGTTATATGGAAACCAAGACATTAAAGCCAACAAACATTTATTCTGCACCTACTATGCTCCAGGTATCATGCTGGGAAGCAAAGATTAAATAAAAGAGAGTACATACTTGTATTTTCATAACTCCCTACATTGTATTCTGTTTAATTTCAGTATATTCAAAAGATCCCAAGTGAACTTTTCAGCTCCATCGACCAACTTCTATCATAGCAATAAGGTCTTTTAGTCACATTCCCCATATTCCATGTAACCTCTTGTTTTAAATATCATATATACATATACACACACATACATAAATGTGTGTGTTATTCCTCTTGTTACTTCAAATCATTGTTTTATGTTTATTAAATGTTTATTATACACTGAGTTTTGAGAATTTCACTTGTCATCTTGTAATTTACGATCATTTCTCAGAAATTCTTGTCAAAATATCTTCATTTCTGAAAATGAAACCAGCCTCAAAAATGTTTTCTAAACAGGATGATTTGTTAAAAGATAGCTTTAAAAAAAAAAAAAAAGGCAAAGACCTCTAGTTTTAACAATCCAGATAAATGGCCCAAATTAAGTAGAAACAAGAGATCATAGTGTGTTCAAGGTGGAAGGGTAATGATGAGCTAATTCAGATATGGTAAATACAGGACCTGAATGCCACCATTCCCTGATCCTGACCCGGACCCTGATCCTGTGGCAGACATCACTAATCAATCACACTACTCTCTGCCACTGAACCTGGGGTTCTCAACAAATTCTCCAGAAAGTCATTACCAATTTATCAGGCTTAGCTCTAAAAGTGAAACTTATCTGCCATCCGTTTTCTGGTTCAATCATTTTATTTTATAGGTAAGGAAACAGAGACCTAGAAAGATAAAGTGACTTCCCTCAAGATTAAATAGCTTCTAAAAGGCAGTGTCAGGACTCAAACTTCTTCTGACTCTAAATCAGAATTTCTTTTCATTATCACACCCCTCCTTTCTAATCCACCCTTAATAAAACTCTTGGTTTTCTAGCTCTTTGATAACTATTTTATTCTGTACTTATCAAGTACTTTATCACTGAAGCGTCTACAGGATTTGTATTTTATGAAGATTTGTAGTATCTCTGCCTTCCTCTTACCTGAAAAGTATTTCCCAAAAGAGATTTAGTGACTTTGGCTTTTTTTTTCACTGCATTGTGGCATGGGGGCTTATAATCATCTCAGGCAATGTCAGAAAGAAGGCCTAATCGAGGTCTGGGGAAAAAGATCAGTGCAGGAGGAGAGGAGACGGTCACATTTTTTATTTGATGAAGGTAGCTAATATAAAAGGAAAAAAAATGACCACAAAATGAAGTTAAAGTAACAAAAGAAAGGAAAGAATGCAAAAGGCCCAGAAAAGATAATAGTAATGAGTCCAGAGAAATTTTCAAAAAAAAAAAAAGTAGAAAAGTCATCAAAGGGGAGGCACAAATAAGGTTCATATATACCCTAGGAGACACGGCAAAATCCGTTTCTCCAACTGAGCACAAAATGGGCCGTAGTGTCCTTCTCTTTAGTAGGAATCTTGAAAAACAAAGATTTGTTTTGTTTTATAGGTTTTATTCTAATTTTTCTTTTCAAAGGTCAGCTTTCTCTGTATTGAAAAGGCTGCTGTTTTCATCCTGATACACATGGCCTAATTAGAATCTTTTTCACCAATGCACTGAATTATATAATTATTTTCAATAAGCTTGGACCTTGGAACTAGTCTCAAAACTAAAACTCCAATATTTCCAAAAGTTCTTTCCTAGTAACACAGGTTGCCTTAGCAAACAGTAATAGGTTACTCCACGTTAATCTCCCTCGTCTGCTTTATTCTGGATCTGCTTCTTTTGCCTCCTCGTCATTTCAAACTCTTGACCACAGTGAAAACTCACCTCCAAATGTGGATGAAACAGTCTTCTGAGGGACAGACAGTGTGTTTCCTAATTTTAATGTCCCAGATACTGTACAAAAAGGGTTTTACCCCCACTCTGGGACCAACTCAATGATAACAAAAATGTTACAAAAGAGGAAGTAGTGCCCACTTGGTGACCCCACGTGGTGATGGTGAGAACAGGGTTAACCTCAGAACCTGGGGAAATGAATCCAGGAGAGTGGACATTAAGCAGGAGAGGAGTTGAACGGCAGGAATGTGAAGGAGGAGGTCTAGTCGGTCTGCCGCCAGTCAGCACACGCACACTCACAGACAGATCTCAGCATCTCTGCTTCCCTGACACCCCGCGACTGTGGGCACACTTGTCCTTAGAGCTCCGTGCATCCTCTGAGCAGCAGAGTAAAGTGTACATGACATTCCACCCACCAGAAAAAGCGACTTACTTCTCTACAGTGTCCGAACAGAGAAGACCCACACCCCTAACGATGCTCCTGGGACACTGCAACTTTCCAGTGATGGTAAGAGATCAAGTCATTTGGTCTAAAACCTGCTGTACTTCACAACCACCTGGAAGGCTTGGTAAAATATTTTCTTCTTGGGGCGTTATCCCCTGATTTTGATTTAGCAGGTTTATTTTGCCTAAGAATCTATATTTTTAATAAGCACCTTAGGGATTATGGACATTTTAGGAACCACTGCACTAAGTTCCATGTGATACAGTTTTAGAGTTTCATACAGCTTATAGTGTTTGCATTTACTAAAATTGAAGGATATCTTATCAGAGTGTTTATTTAAGCAGAATATCCATTCCCAACCGTGCCAGAAAACAGAATATTTACTATACCTGGTAATCCAGCATGCAGAAGCTTGGGAAAAACTGACAAATTCGGGATTCAAAAAAATAGGGGAAAATCCAGAATATAGGTAGTTCTTTGCGATTGTTTTCTAATGGATCACAAAAAAAGAGAAAAGAAAATAAAAGACTATTATTAGAGAAAAAATAAATTAGATAGCTATAACTGAAAAACATCTGGTACTGGGAGAAATTATAACCCTTCAATACATTTAAATCATACAAAGGAGAGACTATTAACCAGAGTGCCATTTACAACTTGACCTCTCCCAAAAGTCAACGGAAATGTTCTTTTATACCTAAACACAGCGACACAGGGGATATAGAAGTGATCTTTACATGCATATCACTATAGTCTAGGTAAAGGCAAAAGATATTAGGGGGAGGGTATAGCTCAGTGGTAGAGCACATGCTTAGCATGTACAAGGTCCTGGGTTCAATCCCCAGTACCTCCATTAAATAAATAAATAAACCTGATTCCCCCCCCCAAAAAAAATTTAGAAAAAAGATAGTACAAAAAAGGTGGGAAATTAAAAATGAGCATCACTTGGAAACACAAAGGTGGTCATGATGTGGTGGCAGGAATCCTGGACCAGAAGGCAGAAGGCTTTAGGTCTGAATCCTAGCCCTGCCACCACTCACCATACCAGTTTTCAGGGATGAAACCATCTTTTCTGAATCATGGAAGATTCTTATGAACAATTTTATCAAAATTAGTTTTTATGAGAGACAGGGGACACAGCTATTACTAACACAGCACCTGGAATAGACTGAGCACAATGCTAGGCACTTTCTACATGTTATCGCCTTACAATAACCCCTAGAGTTAGACAGTAATACAGTAATCCCATTTTACAGATGGGGAAAATGAAGATGCAAAATTTAAGCAATTTGTTCAAATTCATGCAGCTAATAAGCAGCAAAATTGAATGCAAGCCCACAAAGCTCTTTATTGCTTCCCCAACAACGACTTTATCCACTCTGGTAAGTAGACTTCAGAACCAAAAATAAGTAGGATACTTAACACCACGAGTCGTGTTTTAGATTTCATTTGCATTCTGTCCCAAAGCACACTATTTATGTGGCACAATTAATGGAGAAATTTGATCACAAATTCCTGACACTCTTACAATTTATTAACTTGCAAACTAGAAGCTAAAAAATGATTGTACCGACTAATTAGATAATTACATAAAATACTTTGAAGTCCTAAGCCAGTTTAAACTGAATATCCCCCAGTCATTAACCCACTTCTAAGGTCAGGTATCCACGTGTCACTGATAACCACTGTTAGGTTCCCAGACGTGCAACCTTCCCACACAAGTCTTGGCACAGTTTAGAGCTGTGGCCCAGAAGCTGGGTGTCCTCTTTGAGTTCTGGGTAAGGCTTTAGGAAGAGGGAATATAAGGCCCATGAGAGCAGAGATGAGTGTCTGTCTTGTTCACTACTCCATTCCCAGCACCTAAACCGTACCTGGAACATAGTGGCCATTCAGTAAATATTGAATAAATGTCAATAGTTCACTATTATTCTTCATATGCCCACCAAAAACAAATATTTTACCTATGAGCCATTTTAAGAAAACACGATTAGAATAATATGAAGTGTACCATGATGATAAAGTTTGCCACATCATCAAATAAGCCTATTTTTTAAAAAGAAGAGAACCTAAGACATACTCTATTTTATCGGTGCTCTGATTCACTGAGCTCTGCTAATATTTGACAGGAAGTAGATACATAGATACATGTTTATTTTGCAGTAAGTAATAAATTATACACCTTGGCTTTGACCTTCTTTCCACATAGCAATTAACTTCTTGAATGTAACAGCCAGAGGTTCAACCAAGCCACCAAAAGGAGGATCTGTCACCATAATGACTCCTTCACCTTTATCTTCCTGTAAAAATGTTCTGCATACTTCAAGGGCAGCCTGGAACAAATAAAAATTCATTTCTAAATTAGGACTAGAGGGAGGCACTTCATCCTATTCGGAAGAGAATGCATTAGGTTCAGACTCACTCTTCACACTGAAACTTCACCCAGAGTCCCTCAGTGACATCCCAAAGCCTTTCTCATTCAGCCCCCATAAGATTTTATCTTTGGGTTCCGTGATAAGTGGGTTTTTAGAATTGCAAATTCAAACACCATCACTATCAGAGGACTACACATTTCAAATGGTTAAATTAGCAAACTAAATTTAGTAACCTGAAAGAGAGAAACTCATTGCCCATGAAGACTATCTAAAATGCTAAATTCAATTCAATAAACAGAAACAGGGGCTGTGCTGAACACTGGAGACACAATGACAAATAAGACATGTTTCCTATCTGGTTTGTCCACCACCATAAGTTCTGTTTAATAAGAGCTACAAACTACCAGTTAAACATGCACACGTTTTGGGGTACCAGGTAAAAGTCAGGCAGATTTGAACATGCACAGTAACTAAATGAAAGTTCACAAATAACAGCGTATCCAGGCCATGCAACATGCTATTAACACACTTTCCCAACAAACTGATTGAAGTGTTTTTAGTAACTACAAGGTTAACATTAAAAACTATCCAGGATATTTATCACTTTCTGCTTTGGGAGAAATCAATAAGAGACAGAGCTATAATACTAGCTCCAGTATTGACTGATTTTGTAGTTGCTTTCAAGTGCTTATCTATATAAGCAAATCAACCCTATGGTATACAAAATGGCATAAGATTTTAAAGCTTAATAGCATCAAAACTTTAAAAAAACCTATATGTACTTTATAATAAAAATATATTGTTCTAGTAATAAATCAACTTAAAAGATCCAGTTGATGAAAGGATAAATCATAAATAACATCCTAATCCCTTTTCTCTAGGAAAGTCTTTATTAACTTCCTGCTGGAAGTCCTACAGCGAAGGATGGTGTCAAGAAGGTTAATCATTTTTCAAGTGCTGCCCGGCACTTCCTTAACCTGCCTACACGAACAAGGACTAAAAGTACAGATGATGTTATTGAAAAACCTTCAAATTCCTTAGAGTTAAAAGTAGAAAAAAGAAAATAAATAAGTAAGCGAGGCCTGAACTCTTAACCAAATTTAAAAAACATTACAGAATATCTTTTCCAGGTAAGAATCAATGGCGGAGGGTCCCATCCTGAGTGCTGGGGTCCTCATACTGACCACTTATGAGAAACAGATGCTTGCTTATGCCACCAGTATTGACAGTAACTTAACTGTTTTCTTCATCTCAGTTACTATGAAAAAAGTGCTTGGTATCTTAAATAGCCACCGTCTCTACACACCTTAACCACCTTTACCATTAAGGCATGTGGCATTTTTTATTACCTGAAAGACTGTATTATTTGCTATGAAAAAAAGTCCTGTGCAGAAAACCCCTGCTTTTTAATCCAGTGGACTGTAAAGAGTGTAGTGGCAGAGGCTAAATCCTCAAAGGCGCCTGGTACCTCAAAGGCTCCTATACCTTCACAGGTGCCTAGTAGATACTTAAATACTTCAGTGATTGATTGGTAGATGGTAATCTCTACTGAGAACCTTGACTCAGGAAGTAGAGAGAAAAAGGGCTTATGGTAAAATCACTAAAACGATAGTTTTCTGTAGGTCATTTTCTACCGCGGCAGTGCTATTTAGAGACTGCCCCTAAAATATAGACAAAGGAGAGCCTGGGCTGGAATGACTATTTCCTTCTGGGAAAGAGTACGTGGAACTCAGTCGTGGCACCTTATTCCAACCATTTATTCTAGAAACCTATAAATTCTCAATAAAAGTTACACAGAATTTCATAGAAAAAGGTCATTTATATGTTACTTTCTTAGAATATATGAAATTGCTAGCCAACTGTTAGTTATTTAAATGTATTTTTACTCTTGTTATTGTTCAAAATCATTGTACAGTATTAAAAACAAATGCCTGACCCATTACTGCAGCATCAAGCAATAATATAAACTCAGTTACTTCCTCATTTGTGTGCCAGCACCAACTGCACCCCTCAGTTCAAGGCCCCACAGTTTCAAGAGGCTACACTGGACACGTGCATGTTGATATTCTGCCAGCCCCACAAATCCAACATTTACAAACCTCCCTTCCAAACGTCCCTACTCCGTTTTGAAGAATGAAAGATGAATCCAGGCCACACCCCCAAGTTATCTTTGACTTCTCTTCCAGCACACTTATCACCAAGTCTTTTTTTTTTTAAATTGATGTATGACCTATGACATATATTAGTGTCAGGTGTACACACAGTGATTACTCCAAATCTTTTTGTTTCCATCTGTGAAATGCCTTCAGAATCCACTTCTTTCCTCTTTTTTCCACCGTCACTGTCCGAGGTGATTAGCCCCTCATCATTTGCTGTCAAGTGATTTTTCAGTTCCTTGGCCTCCTTCACGCTCATCTAACCAGTTCTCAAATCATGGTGATTATCAACCACATTAGCCCATTTGGGAAATAGTGAGATAAATCTAATTCTAACTGCTAATTACTTCAATACTTAGTTTTTATGGCATTCACTGCTGAAAAATATGTATCCAAATGCTAAACTGATTGATGAAAGGAGTACATCACTGGCTACACTTACTAAATCAGGAGACTCATTTTTCAGTCTCAACCAACAATTTAGACTTTATTTTAATTTCCTGAATGCTTAGTTTTTTAGCCTTGCTTGGTTTTCATTCTATCATTAGCCAATATCTTAAAGCACAATATATACTTAAGCGTGGTTCACAATTCTTTAAAAATTGGTATATATGCATATATGTATGGACATGCTTCAAGTAATCTTGATACTTTCAAATATTTTTGGCCAACCTCCTGCCAGGTGTGATTACTCGGTTGGTTACAGATTTTACTTTGTAATAGGACTGACAAAGAGCTCAAATTAGGCGTAGAAATATCAGTTTTGTTATGTTGTTTATTCACAATGACACTATTAACATCACATTGAAAGAAGTTTTTTTTTCCAGCTACTCTTTTTTTAAAGATTTTTTTTAGAGCAGTTTTAAGTTTATAGCAAAACTGAGAGGAAGGTACAGAGACATCCCACATAACCCCTGCCCAACAAATGGATAACCTCTCCCATATCAACATCCCCCACCAGAGTGGGACATTTGCTAAAAGTGATGAACTTATACACTGATACATCATTATCACCCAGAGCTCATAGACTGGGGTTCACTCTTGACACTGTCTATTTTTTATAGGATTAATTTAATAAAATCATAAATCCCCTTAACTGGGACATGAAATTTATCAGAAAGGCAGTCAGCAAACTAACCACAAAATTATTTAATTACAGTTTCACAAATCTACAAAGGAGAACTTGACCTTGTCTGATGGTGAGAGGAGGCTGGAGAAAGTGACTTGGAACAGGGTTCTGAAGAATGAAGTGAAATGAACAAGGCAAAGAGAGAATGGAAGGTGGAGGGAACAGCATGGGCAAAAAAAACCCCTTTGGTAGAAAGGCCAGTTAGAGATGAATGTCCTATGTCCTGAAAACAAACAACAAAGCAGGAATGGGGAGAGGACAGGCTGGACAGTGGCAGAGATCATATCACACAAAGCTATGTGGGCCTCGGTGAGAAAGTGGGTCTCTACCCAAAAGCAGTGAAAAGTCAAGGAAGATGAATAACATTGACCACCTTAGATGTTCCATACACAGTCAGTGAATAAACAAAAACAAATATTAATAGATGGTGGGACAGCCACCATTTGTTCTTGAGGGATTCCAGAAAAACAATGAAGGAAACACAATAAAAAAAGAGAGAAAATGGTCATAATTCTTACCTTTCCATCAAAGAAGTGATGGTTAAACATGTTATAATGGCAAAAACTATCTTCCATATAAAACTGTGAATACCTGTAAAATAATTTATTACTGTAGTTACTTGTCCAGTCATAGCTATGCAGTAGATAAATATAAACCAAATTTTAAAACTATGAAATCACACTTTTAATGAAATCAATTTCATCATCCTTTAGTTATCTGAAATAAAGAATACTTTCCCCAAATCTTAAGAAGTCAGTAATAAGGCAGAAAGGGTATAGCTCAGTGGTAGAGTGCATGCTTAGCATGCACAAGGTCCTGAGTTCAATCCCCAGTATCTCCACTAAAAACAAAATAAACCTAATTACCTACCCACACCAAAAATAAATAAATAAATAAGGCAGTAATAGTGGATGAATAACTTAATTTATAGTCCCAAGTTTAATAAGCCAGTGGCAAAACTACGGAATACTCATATATATAAAAAATACACAAGTTCCTAAGAACCAGAAGATCATACATAAATAATCATATGCCTGACAGATTATTATGCACTTTAAGCTTGAGATGGGTTGGCAATTAAAATACATCTCTCATAGTTAATAATTTTAAGGAAAATACTGAATCAACATTTCTGCTCAAGAGCCGTTAATTATTTTCTTCTGTGGTTAACAAAAAAGGGTATTTAATACAGAGTTTTTCTTATCTGCCGCACATTAGCTTAATAAAATATGCTTCTTAATATGTAAGAAAAAGAAGTCTATGCACTTCATATTTACTGAATTAGTGTCAGGAAAGCATTTATTTATTTACTGATTGGATCATTTTATTCTTCTAACATGCTACTTAAAAATGCAATCAGTAATGAATGAGAGTGCCAGCTTTGGGCATTAACATTTTATAAATTTTTGCTAATTTACTAGGCAAAATTCATACCACATTATGCCTTAAATTTGCATTTATTTGATTTCTTACAAGACTGAATTTTCTTTATCCCTTAATTGTATTGGTACTGTCTGTCTCTGTTTTCCCCATTTATGTCTTTGGGCCTTAATGTTTTTCTTGCTGATTTCTGAGCTTTTGGTCTAATATAGAAACTCCTTTTATCTCAATAGGATTTTGAACTTCCATTATTTTGTCATAAACAATTCATATATGAACCACATCATCCTTCTACAGAATTCATAATCTAGTGGAAAGACAGAAAAAAATCAGGGACACATCCTTCCGTACACAACTTCTTCAACCAAATCATGACAGTGGCTCTTCTCTGCTGCTACTTCTACTTGCAGTTACTCATCACTGTCCACAACTGAGTCACCAGCCATGCTGACTACTTAACGTGGTGGACAAGCCTAGTTTATCCCTGTCCTGTTACACTGTGGCTAAGAGCACAGGCACTACAGTCAGGCGGTCTGGTTTCAAACTCTGGGTCGCTTCACTTATTAGCTGTATAACCCTAGTAAGTTATTTAACCTGTCTGAGCCTCAGTTTCTTCATCTACAAAATAGGAAAAATAATAGTTTCTACCTCAGAGGATTTGGTAAGAATAAATAAGATAATGTACGTAAAGTGCTTAATACAATGCCAGTTGCATAGCTTATACTGAAATGTGAGGTATTATTTTAATAAACACCAGCTATAAAGATTTATGTCTTAATGTCTCTAATATTAGAGAATTATGTTTATGTCCAACCAACATTTCTCCTCCTATAATCTAAATCCATTTCTTCTTGTTCTGTGGAGACGGAAGAACAGCTGTTTGCCATTCTCAGTACACTATCCCTTAATATCATTTAAGGTACTGCTAGTACACCTGCTGCTTTCATAAGACATAAATGTGCTCTAAAGAAATAAACAGAAGGTTTAGATAACTGAAAAATATTTAAACTATATACTGTGATCTAAGGAACATTCCAAAAACTGTGGGACAATGTCAATTACCATTAATAAACAAAAGTGTTCCTATTTAACAAAATTCTAAATAGCTGATAATATATCTATAGCAATTATTTAATTTATATATATATCAATACGACTACAGTTGTGGATTAACTATCATTTGAGGGTGTTCTTATCTCTTGCATTGCTTTGTGCGAGCAAGGAAAATATAATTCCTTTTTAAAGATATTTCCACCCTCCTCCATTTTTTCACTGCTTCACGACACAACAGTCTTTTTTTTTAATTAAAAATAAAAATTTTATTTACATAAAATTCAGCACAGCACAGCACACCTGTCCAACGTTCTGGGCAGCAGTGGGCATAGCCAGAGAGAAAAAAAAAAGCCAAGATTTCAGCTCTAAGTTTCCATCAAACACAAACAAGATAGCAAAATTATTCATATTTAAATTATGAAAAATCACTCAAAATTATCCTCTTAAAATGAAGTCGGCCACAAAGAATTATTCTCTCCAATGAATAAGGCAAACAAAACCAATCAGAAATGCATGCACTTGAAAACTGCTCAAAAGGACATTCATTTAATTTGGCCATTCATTCTCCTTAAATGAGAGTCAGTTTCCAAGTGTGAAACATGTTCTACACACAGGAAATGTAATCAAGAGCTGAATAAAATTAGTTCACGAAATGAACCTAAGAAATTCATTTTTTTGATATAACTTTATTTGGATGATAGTTACCAAACAGTTTCACATCTTTCATGCTAAAATTAGAGCACATAGAAATCCATCTTAGCAAATGCTAACTTCATATCTTAGACCCCCCGAAAAGGACATTTATAGCGCATCTATATAGAACACTGGAGTTGAGAGCTCTCTGCAGCCTTGCACAGACCTTTTGCAGGGCAACAAACCAAAGTCAAAGTGCCAAAAGGAACTCTTCACTGCCACTCTACACCACACAGGAATTTTCCTGATTTAATTATGGTCCTTGTGAGAAATCTGAACCCATCCCACACTCCATCATAACGTAAATACAGGCAACAGACTGAGTTCATCCTGGCTACTAACGTATTTCAATAAACCAGCCCTCTCTTAGCACCCAATGTGGATTTTCCAGAACTGACTCAGAAACAGAGTATGCTATCAAAGAAGCTAAGCCAAGACATTCACAATACTATACCTTCAGCTTTTGTTTGCAACACACACACACAGAAGTTTATAGACACGGAAAGAAAAAAGCATCTGTGTATTCCACATGTGAATTTCATCCACATTCCCTACTCCCTACTCTGACCAGGGAATTTCAACTACAGGCTCAAAAAAGGTAAAACTACAAGGCAAAGCATTTAAGCAAAAGAGTTAAGGGGCCATATAAATCTTTCAAATTAGAAGTAAAGCAGTTAAGATGCAAAGAGTTCTAGAGAATGGTGCACAATGATGTGAATGTACTTCACTGAACAGTACACTTTAAAAATAATTAACAGTAAATGTTATGTTATGTGTACCTTATCACAATTTTTTAAAAAACAAGTAAATCAGGGTATCAGCCATGAACAATACAAAATAAAATTAAGATGAGAGGGTACAGCTCAATGGTAGAGTGTATGCTTAGCAATCCCCAGGACCTCCATCAAAATAAGTAAATAAATAAAATGAATCCCCCCCCAAAACAACAACAAACACAAACAAAATAAAATTAAGAAAACAATTTAATTTACAATAGCAACAAAAAAGAATAAAGTGTTTAGGAATAAATTTAACAAAAGAAGTACAAGAAGACCTGTACACTGGAAACTACAAAATATTATTTAAAGAAATTAAAGAAGATCTAAATAAATGAAAAGACACTTCATATTCATGAACCAGAACACTTAATATTAAGATGTAAATACTCCCCAAATTGATCTTCAAATTCAACACAATCCCTATAAAATCCCCAGCTGGCTTTTTTGTAGAATTGACAAGCTGATTCTAAAATTCATACAGAAATGCAAAGAACCCACCATAGCCAAAACAATCTAGGAAAAGAATTAAATTGAAAGACTCACATTTCCCAATTTCAAAACTTACTACGAAACAACAATCATCAAGACTGTGTGGGACTGGCATAAGGGCAGACAGTTCAACGGAATAGAATTGAGAGTCTACAAATAAATCCATACATTTATGATTATTTGGTTTTCAATAAGGTGCCAAGAGAATTCAATGGGAAAAGAATAATCATTTTAACAAATGGCACCATGGCAACAGATATCCACATGTAGAGAATGAAGTTGGACCCCTTTCTCATACCATATGCAAAAACTAACTCAAATCAATGAACTAAATGTAAGAGCTAAAATTTAAAACTCTTACAAAAAACAAGTGTAAATATTCACGGCTTTGGGTTAAATAATAGTTTCTTAGATATGACACCTAAAACACAAACAACCAAAGAAAAAAGAGACTTCATCAAAAGCAAAAAGACTACCCACAAAATGGGAGAAAATATTTGCAAATCACGTATCTGATAAGGGTCCAGTACCCATAATATATTAAGAACTCTTTCAATTCAACAATAAGACAAATAACCTATTAAACAATGGGCAAAGAATTGTATAGCTATTTCTCCAAAAAGATAAACAATTGGCCATAAGCATATGAAAAGACACTCGACATCATTAGCCATTAATAAAATGCAAAACAAACCACAATGAGACAGGACTTAAAAAGATAGACAGCAACAGTGTTAACAAGGATGTAGAGGAACTGGAACTCTCCTACATTGCTGTTGGGAATATAAAACAGTGCAATCACTTTGGAAAACAGTTTGGCAGTTCCTCAAGAAGTTAAACATAAAATTACTGTATGACCAAGCAATTCTATTCATAGGTATATACCTGTTATGGCCTTAACAACATTGTGTGAGGCTCAGGATCTCAACTGGGCTAAAGCCTGCTGTATCCTAGACTCCAGTAACGAGAGCCAATACATGCTCTCTGACATAAACAAATGTCCAGGCCTCTAATGAAAGAAAGATCCCTGACTACCATAAGTGCCTTATTCTAAATATATGAATAATCTGGAAACCAGTTATTAACTTATTGGAAAACTGCTGTAGATGGAGAAAGGGAAAGTTAGAAGGATGACAAGAAAGAAATGGGCTATATAAGAAAGGCTTATATATACTTTCAAAAGCAAGGTTATTTCCAGAGGACAACTTAATTTTTGGAGCCAGACTGACTGGCCATTTATAAACTGTGACTGTGGTCAAGTTATTTAATGTCTTTGCACCTCAGTTTTCTCCTCTGAGGAGAAGGAGAATGGTAATAGCATCTACCTAACAGGGCTATTATGAGGACCAGGTAAGTTAGAACAGGGTTTGACACATGACAATCATTCACTAAACTTCAGTTATTGTTAATAGTTATTGTTAATAATGGTATTAAAAGAATCTAAAAGTTAAAATTCTACCTTTAAAATAATACATTTGTGATAATTTAACAATAATATTTTAGGAAAGACACGTGGTAGTTAAAAAAAGAAACTACCATATTCATACAATGGAAAATTATACAGCTATTTTTTAAAAGTACACTTATCTGCTAAGACATGGATGAACCTTGAAAACCTTATGTTAAGTGAAAGAGGCCAGACACAGAGGTCACATATTGTATGATTCCATTTGTATAAAACAACCAGAACAGACAAATCTATGGAGACAGAAAGCAGATTAGCGGGGTTATTAGGGGAAGTAAGGAGTTTCTTTTCAGTGTTATTAAAAACGTTCTGGAATTATGGGGGATGGACGCAAAACTTAGTGAATATACCAGAAACTGCTGAAATACTCACTTCAAAATGGTAAATTTTAAGCGAATCATACCTCAATTTAAAAAAAGAAACTGAGTTTTCTTGAAGAAGTCTGTATTATCACCTAGGGGATTCAATTTCGCTGAGGATCGCTCACATCAAGCAGGTATTTGTAAAGTGTGCTAGTTCTGTTACTATGAGATGAAAGTTACAGAAAGTGTGGCTTATTTCTGAGAAATGTACTTGCTTATCTTAGATAACCTAAAGTTTACTTGGAAATCTAAAGAAAAATAAAGATGAAAGCTATACTTTTTATTGTGAATTTTTACACTTTAAAAATCTGTCTGCCTTGTTATTAGGAAGAAAAAGTATGTATCATTTCATAGATTCTCTCCAGTAAATATTGGAATATTACCCAAATAGACTCTATCAGGTTAAATAAAAAGAAACTCAAAGCATGGTTCCTTCAATGCACTCAAGAATATGTGAAATATACTAAGAACACGGTGTCTTACACACTCACCATGAACTCCTGAAATTCAAACAATTACAGAGACCAGGAAGAGTACTTCAAGTTTACAGAATCAGAGAGTCTATGGATGGACACGTTTGCCATTCTGTGTTGTAAATCAGAAACCTGTATCTTCTCAATTATCACCATAGGGGAGTCAAGGTATGGTCTGCTGTCTCTTCTGTTTGTCCAACATATCAGGTGTCATTTAATTCTGACCCTCTCCCACAAAGCCTATCTGTTTGCTTATCCTCTGCCTGGGGACCTGTCTGTTCCACAGTTAGCACTCTCTTCACTTCAGGCTATGTCCAGTGAAAGACAGAAAGCACATCATGTGGTAAAAATATTAAAATAAATGTCATCACATTTAAAACATCATGACAAAACAAAATCCTAGAGGTAATTCAGAATTATCTTTGAAAAACAAGTATATGAGAAGAAATTTCATTCAATAAAAATGTATCTCTAAATTATAAGCCAAAGACAGCTGGACCCATTCACAGAGAAAATTTAGGAAGCACACTAGCAAAAAAGAGCAACCTACTGTCTCCCTGTCTGAAATATGGAAGAGTCCATGTTGAGTTTCTCTGATTAACATGATGCTTGTTAACATTACTGCTTCTCAATGTTGGGTAAAGGATTGTAACAGGATGAACAGGAGGAAGCCATTAAAAAGAAACAGGAGACAATGAAGGAGAATAAACATACTTTGTAAACCTACCGAAAATCAATATCCAATAAAAGGCTTTTAATGTTAGACTTCTCGTCACCTGATGCTTTCAACCTGATCAGCTCATGCAACCTAAAGCAATTAGTGAAAGCAAATTTAATAAGAAATTACAAATGCCACAGACAACAAGCAAACAAATAAAAACCCACCAATGTTCTCCTGATCTTTCTAATATTTCAATGAAACACTGAAGAAAATTTGACAGGTATAAGCATCGTTTCAATTTTGCAGATTTTTTTAAAGAGTAGAACTTATCTGAAACAAAGAATTCTAAAGTTATAATAAACAACTTAAGAATCAAATCAGAAAGCATCTCCTATCACATATCAGAAATCTGTAAGGATTTCTCTCAGACGGAATAAAGATTACAAACTGTCACAGAGGGACCATGCTTCATGCTTCCTTTGCACACTTGAAGCTTCATGTTGTACCCTGCACATAGTAAATAACTACTTAATAAATTTTCTTACACTTTAAATAGGGGTGATAGAAGTGTTTAAAATACCACATAACATACCTTGGTGTTCCAACACATAGTACTCTTCTGAACCCAAGGGTAGAGAGCAGGTCCACTAAGAACAGACAGCTCCTATCAGCAAACAAATACTGGGCATTTGTCTTCTTGTTTTCCAAGGGACAGAGGAGCTGACTGGGCCTTTTTAACTGGGTGATGGAGACGTCACCCACTATCTGATGCTCACGGTGCTTCTCCCCATCGTCTGGCAGTACCAACTGCTGACATCTTTGACAAAACTTCCTCTGAGACAAGGGCAACTCAATAAACTTCAAGTACCTGCAAGACACACAAAACACAAAGGGATATATTTTAAGTTTGTTGCTTTAAAGACAATTGATCTTTGACAGTTTTAATATGCAAAAAGTATTATTACTTTCCAAAGAGTACCATGTAAAGAAGCAAGGGTACCAAAAAAAATCTGTGGAATGTTGGCTTGAATTTATGTCTGGCTGCATACCTATAAAGTGGAAAAGAATCAGCGATTTCATAAGAATTGAGATGCTCCAATTTAGTCACTGGATGAAGATCAATATCCATTTAAAATGTGAATATAATATATTACTCAAACAACTTAGTAGTAATGGAGACTACTATCACCTTTAAATTTATTGACAAATCCATGTGTTCTAACTTGGAAGTGTTAAACAGTCTGGCTCGGTAAGACAGTCATTTTAAAATGAGAAATTAAGATCATTCTTCAATTTCTTATGGCATACTTAGCAAGAAAAATTACCTCCTAAAAGCAAAAATGTTCTTACAAAGTTCCTCTATTCTTAGCAGTACTGATGGAAGCAGTTCTGAGACACTCACCCCCAAAACAGCAAAATAATAATTAAAGCCTAAAAAAAAATACGATACCAGATACCCTATTTGATCGCTTACAAGTCACCCTTATATCTGATTTCAACATCACTACTTTTTTTTTCTTTTCATTTTATTATTGATGATTAAAAAGAGAATATGATCACAGTTTTAAATGTTTTAAAACTGATTTTGTACATGTAATACCAGCTAAGAAACCAGAGTAAGAAAACAAAAGGAAAATAAGTAAGATTATTAGGGCTCATGAAGGGTCAGAAATGTCTCCATCTAAGCATGTCAAACAGTGCACTAAAAGAGTCTTAAGAGTTTGAGAAGAGTCATATGGTTTCCATAGAACTGAACTCTGAACTGCACTATAAAAACTGGAAACTTGACATAGAATCAAAGTGGGTTTTAAAACTTTTTGTATCTAAGCACAGTTTCACTTCAGAGCACCGAAGGCAGTGACAAATAGATGTTCTGAATGGGCTACAGCAAGAAATAAGCTTATTGTGCCAGTAATTTAAATGTTTCTATTTCTATGATAACTGGTTTTTTTGACAGCTTTATCTATGACTGGAAAGAAAAAGGAGAGCGCTATTAGAAGAAACCTTAGTAGTAATTCACAGTAAGAATGTCAGCAGAGCCATGAAATGCAAGTGGAAAAAACCAGTACCCTCCTCAGCAATAGATACACTGAATTTACTACTATTACCGCCCATTAGTAACTGTTCATTGTTGAAGATGTCCACATCCAGCCATGAGACAGCAACAGAGACCAGATTTACCATCCTGGCCCTCAAAAAACAGATAATATATGAAACCAGTTTCATGTGGCATGTGTGGACAAGTGGCAGCTCAAACCATGAATGAGAAGAGAAGGGAGCAGAGGCATGAGTGGAACAGCTGCCCGCTTCCTCCTGTGGACAGACGGCAGCACAGGACGGAGACCCCAATGGAGCACACTGAGTTGACCATGCAGAGTTAGAACTGGTGGCGGCCAGGGAGGCCAGAGTCACAGGGGAGAGCAGGGAGACAATATGCACAGAGCATGTGGAGGGCAGATGGCGGGCACGACACTGAGGGAGCCTCGGAGCTTTGCTGAGGTTCCCCTCCAGCCTGTGCTGAGCACTGACTGGCATGTGCATGAGAAGACTACCCACCGAGGGGGAGCAGATGAACACCGCCGGGCAGAGTGAGACACCTCCGCGTGCACAAGCATCAGGTGGAGAGCTCTGGAGGGACAGCCTCAGGAGTGGGGAGAAACTAGCCCCACCCCAAACGCTGCTCTGGTTCTGCCAAAAGGCTAAAGGATAAACCTTCAAAAGCAAGGGACTATAAAGGATCAGACAGTAAATATTTTTTGACCAGCCATCTGTTCTGTCACAATTATTCTTCGGTTGTAGCACGAAAGAATGATATCACATTTCTCACTGGAAACAAGAAAACAGTGGAGCAATATCAATTCCATATGAATTCTTCTAGAAAAAAGAAAGGAGGGTATAATTTCCAATTCATTTCATTAGGCCAATGTTACTCCAATGCCAAAACCAAAAAAAAAGTTGTAAGAAAACTAAAGACCACTATACTTAATGAACACAAACTCAAAATTAATAAAATTTTAGTCAATCAAAAACACATACATAAAGGCAGTAATACATCATGATCAAGTGTAGTTGACCGCAGGAATGCAAAGTTGCTTTAATGTTTGGATTCAGTCAGTGTAATTCACTATATAACAGTCTAAAAAAATTATCTTCTCATTAGATGCAGAAAAAAAGGCAGTTGACAGAAATCAAACATCCATTTGTGATAAAGATTCTCAAAAAACTAGAAACAGAAAGGGACTTCCACAACCTGATAAAGGGCATGTAAGAAAAATCTACAGCTGACACCATATTAATGAGAGACTGAATGCATTCCTCCTGAGACCGAGATAAAGCAAGGCTACCTATTCTTAACATTTCTACTCAACATTGACTGGGAATCCTAGCCACTTTGATAAGGCGAGAAATAAAAGGCATAGATTAGAAAGGAAACATTAAAACCTCTTTATTCACAGGCAACATGATCATGTATGTAGAAAGTCCTAAGGAAATCTTCAAAAAAGCTGCTAAGACTAGTAAGTAAGCTTAATAAGGATAAAAGATTAATATACAAAAATCAATTGCAATATTACAAACCAGCAATAACTGAAATCTGAAACATAACAATTTAAAACAGCATTAAAAGTATAAAATATTTAGGGATAAATCTGACAAGAGATACATAACCCCACTACACTGAAAATTACAAAATGTCACAGAGAAAAATTAAAGATGATTTAGCAACTGGAGAGATATACCCTGGCCATGGACTAGAAATCTCAGTATTATTAAGATGTCAATTCTCTTGAATTTTACCTATAAATTCAGCAAAATTTCAATTAAAATCCCAGCAGGGCTTTTTGTAGATACTGAAAAAAATGATTCTAAAATTCATATGAAAATGATAAGGATATAGAACAGCCAAAACAGCTTTGAAAAAGGAAAGCAAAATTAGACTTTCAACACTACCTGATTTCAAGACAACTTACTATAAATTCACAGTAATCAAGACAATGTGATCATTGTATAAAAATATACATATGGGTCAGTAAAACAGAGCAGAGAATCCAGAAAAAGACCCACATAAATGGTCAACAGCCTTTTGACAAAGGTGCTGCAGCAGGCTTAACAATGCCCCCACAAAGATGCCCATATCCTAATCCCTAGAACCTAAGAATTTGGCCAAAGGGACTTTGCAGATGTGATTAAGTCAATGATCTTGAGATGGGAAGATTATCCTGTATTAACTGAATGGGCCCAATGTAATCACAAGGGTTCTTTCAAGGAAGGCAGCAGTATAAAGTTAGGGAGAAGACAATGAGATGACAGAAGCTGAAACTGAAGTGACGTACTTTGAAGATGAAGAAAGGAGCCACAAGTCAGGAAATATAGGCAGCCTCTGGAAGCTGGAAAAGGCAAGAAGACAGATTCTCCCTTGATTCTTCGGAAGAAACACCCTCGCCTGCCAACAGCTCAACTTCAGTCTAGTGAGACTGATTGTGAACTAGGGACCTCCAGAACTGTAAGAGAACAAATCTGTGTTGTTTAAAGCCACCAACTTGATTACCAGGTTTGTGGTGATCTATGACCGCAACAAAAGGAAACTAAACCAGGGGCCAAGTCAATTCAATGTGGAAAGGATAAAACTTTCAACAAATGCCGCTGGAGAAGTTCAAAAGCCTGACCCTTATGTCATAACACATTGAAAAACTAAGCCAAAATGGATCATAACCTAAATCTAAGAGCTAAAACTATGAAACTTCTAGAAAAAAACATAGGAGAAAATAATGATTGAATTTGGCAAGAATTTCTTAAATAGGACTTAAAAAGCACAAAGTATTTAAAACAACAATAAATTGGACATCCAAATTTTAAACTTTTTTCCTCAAAAGACACTCACCAAAAGCAATAAAAGAAAAATAAATAGACTGGATTTAATCAAAATTTAAAACTTTTGTGTTGCAAAGGATACCATCAAGAAAATGTAAAGACAACTCAAGAATGAAAAAATGTTTGCCAACAGTATATCTGGTAAAGGAACTGCATCTACAATACATAAGAACTCATAACTCAACAATAAAAACAATTAGCCCAATTTAAAAAATGGCAAAGAAAATGAATAGACATTTTTCTCCAAAGAAGATATACAAATAGCCAATAAGCACATGGAAAGATGCTCAACATCTTTAGCCATCAAGGAAATGCAAATCAAAACAACGTGGTACCACATCACACCCACCACGATGGTTATTAACTAAAAAGACAGATAATTGTATTGTGGAGAATGGAGACAAACCAGAACCCTTATAAATTACTAGTGGGAATGTAAAATGATGTAGCTACTTTGGAAAACAGCTTGGTAGTTTTGTACTGTTAAGCATGTATTTATCATATGATCCAGCCATTCTACTCCTAGGTAATTACCCAAGAGAAATAAAAACATGAGTCTGCAAAAAAACTTATACACAAATGTTCATAGATGGTTTATTTGATAGGCAATAACTAGAGGCAACCTAAGTGTCTACAAACAAGTGAAAATATATCATTGCAACAGAATATTATTCAGGAATGAATTAATGATACACACACCAACATGGATAAATATCAAAAATAGTTATGCCAAGTAAAAGAAGCCAGACACACCTCCCCTCAAAAAATAGTATATATTGTATAATTCCTTAATACAAAATTCCAGAAAATGCAAATTAATCTATAGTGACAGAAAGCAGATCAGTGGTTACCTGCGGTGTTTGGGGACAGAGGAATACAGGACGATGGCAGAAGAGGAAACTTCTGGCAGAAATGATATTCTTAATTGTGGTGATGGTTTCACAAGATACCTTCATGTCAGAACTCGTCAAAAAAAAGAGTATTTCCACCAGAAAAAAT